AGACCTGGACCAGAACAAGAACCAGAACATTTGTGGAAAATATGTCTGTCAAAACTCTTTCCACTCAGCTTTCCATTTGTGTCCAATCAGTTCCCTCGGTAAATGCACCATATACTTGAAAAGAAGTAATTTATTGCTTTTTTTTGGTCTTTTTAAGTTCTATACTTCATCCAGTTTTTTGTATTTACACAACAGGGTTAAATTTCAACCTCTATCAAGCCGTCTTTTCTTTGGATTGCACGAAGGACGAACGCTTTCCTTCATATTCTCACCTCATAATCAGAGGGGGAAACTTCTGGAACAGCCTCCCAACAAAAACTGTGCTAAAATCTGGCTCATTTACAATCTGTATGAGATTGTTCATTAACTCATTGGCTGCCAAAGACGTCTATGGACGTCTTTTATGTTTTTCAACGAGTGTCTGGGGGACGATCTGCTAAAGCTAGTCCGTAAATATGGGCTTCTAGACAGAGTATGTAGTAACAAATTGACCCTCTAGGGGGCAGTGCCACTTTTGATGGGAGAGGAGCATAGACTGTAGGCAAATAAGAAAAAGCTAACGGTTCTATAAGAGAACATGTCGCCGGTGAGTAGCACGTCGAAGAAGAATGGAATAAGGTAGAAACACAATTTTTTTCCTGATGAAAGAAGAGAGTCTACTCTTTCTTTTGGTGTGTTCGGTGTGTACATAGTCATAGCACAAACTATTCTGTGGCTCTAGAAAAATCAGTCAAAATGCTAAAAAAAACTCTGGCAGTATGGGACTCTCTGTTCTGAAAATGGCTGCCAGTCAATGAGATAATGTGCACTGTCCCGATTAAATAAATAAATAAATACATTTTGGCCAGATCTTTTCGTCAAAGTCGGAAATTCCTGCCGCCGGCCTCACTTCCTGTTGCTTTGGCCACAATGGTTTGTTAATTCTGCCGCGGCCGCTGGGCAAAAACAACTTCCCCGTCGGTAACGTGATCTCACACCGAGGCTTTTGTGCCTCATTTCCTCCACCTGCTGCAGCCATTCAGACGCGTTTGGCCCCACCCTTCACAGCACACACTCCTATCACCACCACCCCCCCACGGCAGCGTGCTCCAGGCCAGAATAGGAAGTCTGTTGCAGACTCCATTGTTTTCAACTTTTCAAGGAAGTCTCTGTTGCGCGTCGAGTTTTCAGGAAATGAATCGGCTTTGGGGAATGCGGGTTTTCTCCTCCCGGGTTCGATCTCTGGCTGGAGCAGAGTAAACTAGAATATGAGAAGCCAAAGAAAAGCTGAAAAAGACATAGAGCGGAAGGAAAAAGGCCGAAGGGAGGAATGATTTTAAAGAGATGAAAACTAAAGAGTGGAAGACGAAAGGTAAAAAGATTAGAAGAAGAATAAAGAGCAAAAGGCCATAAGATTATAGATAAGATACAAGAAGATTTGAGTGGGATTTGAACCAGCAACTTCTGTATCTGCAGTCAAAGGCTCTACTACTGATCTATACCACTAAGCTATACCACTGAGTTATACCACAGGCTGATTGGCTACTGAGGAATTCATAGGAAAAATTTGAAGGGGCTGAAATGTGGCCATCGTTTTTGCTCCATTCATTTCAATGAGAAGAATAAGTCATAAAAGGTTAAATATCTTTAAAAGTTGAAAAGATTTGAACACCAAAAGTCAACGCTTCATAGTCCTGAGATAGCCGAACATTTTGATACCTTATTTGTTTAAATAGGCTGAAAGGTGTCGGAGTAGTTAGACGCAGAAAAACGTTCGGAATAAAGAATAATAAAGAGAAACAGGAAAACAAAAGTGAATGATGAATGCTACTGACACGCCTATATATAAAACCAACATTTTTATTCTACAACGGCTCTCGTCCAATGAGTCCAGAGATCAAGCAAAAGTATATACACACATTTCCTCTGATGGTGACAACATGTATATGTACAGATCAACATCACCGGGTCGGCTTTTTAACTCATTGGCTGCCAAAGGCGTCTATAGACGTCTTTTTATGTTTTTTAACGAGAGTGTCTGGGGGACGATCTGCTAAAGCTTGTCCGTAAATATGGGCTTCTAGACAGAGTATGTAGTAACAAATTGACCCTCTAGGGGGCAGTGCCACTTTTGATGGGAGATGAGCATAGACTGTAGGCAAATAAGAAAAAGGGAACGGTTCTATGAGAGAACATGTCGCCGCTGAGACGCAAGTCCAGGAAGAACGGAATAAGGTAGAAACACTTTTTTTTTTCCTGATGAAAGAAGAGAGTCTACTCTTTCTTTTGGTGTGTTCTACACTCAGCTCTTTTAAAACCCTTTTAAAGACCCACTTTTTCTCTCAGGCCTTTGAGTGAGACTTCGACTTTATTTTAGTTGTCTTAATTTCCCTCTCTTACTTGGTTGTGTTTTTTTTATTTTTTGCTCTTACTGTTTTTAATCTTTGAGTTTGTCTTGTGTTGTGGTGATAATTGTGTTTTATGATGCGCTCAAATGGCCTGTACAGCGCTTTGATTTTAGCTTTGGCTGACTGAAAGCGCTTTATACAGGACTGTCTCAGAAAATTAGAATATTGTGATAAAGTTCTTTATTTTCTGTAATGCAATTAAAAAACATGAAATGCCATACATTCTGGATTCATTACAAATCAACTGAAATATCGCAAGCCTTTTATTGTTTTAATATCGCTGATTATGGCTTACAGCTTAAGAAACCCAAATATCCTATCTCAAAATATTAGAATATCAGATTTTTTAGTTTTTTTCTGCTGTACGCCATAATTAGCGATATTAAAACAATAAAAGGCTTGCGATATTTCAGTTGATTTGTAATGAATCCAGAATGTATGACATTTCACGATTTTTAATTGCATTACAGAAAATAAAGAACTTTATCACCATATTCTCATTTTCTGAGACAGTCCTGTAAATAAAGTTGAGTTGAGTTGAGTTGAGTGTTCGGTGTTTACATACTGTAGTCATAGCCCAAACTATTCTGTAGCTCTTTAAAAATCAGTCAAAATGCTCAAAAAACTCTGGCAGTCAATGAGTTAAACATGCACATCGGGCAGTAAACGGTGGACAGACGGGGGCTAACGGAGGCTTTAGCCGGAGGGGAGAGGGAGCACTGGGTCCTGGGGGGGGGGGAAGTGTCCATTTTCCTGTATTAGCCAATAACACAAACAGGGGGACAGTTTCTGACCCCCGTTTGGGTCCAAAAAAAGCCCCTCATAGCTCTACACCAGTGATTCTCAAATGGGGGTACGCGTACCCCTGGGGGTACGTGGAGGTACTGCAGGGGGTACGTGAAGCTTTCCAAAATATATTTTAAAAATCAGTAGGCTCCTCACAATAAGTCTTGGGAGAAATTATTCTGTAAAAAGTTCGATAGAATATAAATGTGTGTTCATGCACTGCATTTTATATTCAGTATTTAGTTTCAATATCCTTTAAAATAAAAACGGACCCCCCACCAAGTTAGTTTGACCCATGGACCCAGCGCACTTGTCAACGACCTGTCGTTACCATGGTTACGTTTGGCTGTAATAAATAAGACAGTGATTTTACAGCACTGTACCTCTTTTTCCTTCCAAAAATGTTTTGTTTTCAGGGGGTACTTGACTAAAAATATATTTTTAAGGGGGTACATCACTGAAAACAGTTTGAGAACCACTGCTCTACACTGTGGCGGCGACACTGTAGCTGCTCCCGTTGCTGACGTCAGCGGGTAGCGACGCCATGCTAGCCCGCGTCCCATTGGTCTCTCTCCCCTCCTTCCCCTCATAGAACGCCACTGCGTCTGGAAGGAGATGACAAGGGCCGCTCTGAGCAGGGAGAGCCACCACTTCCCTTCGTCCTAACAGCAAATA